TATGTATGTATATATATACATACATACATATATACATATATTCAACTAAAAGTCATAACATTTAGCATATAGGTTCAACAAATTCTTGATGCAATAACATTAATCCAAAGAGAACAAAAAAATTTCTTCCAAAATCAAAGGAAAAATAAGTCATGTAAGATATAAAAATGTTCTCATCTAAATTTTTTGAATTGTACTGAAAAAAAGTTCATTTAATTTCTTTAAGTATCATTAAATTTTATTTTTTTATTTATTTTGTTCATGCAAAATATATGTCAAAGATTTTCACATATTACTATCATTTTACTAAAAACTAAGTGGTAGGGAATGGCAACTAATTAATAAGGGAGAGAGTGAAGTTTCTAGAGCAATAATGATATCACTTAAGTCTTTACCTCAAATTATTTTTTGCGACAGTTACATCCATAGCACACAATTCTTATGTATTTACATATCTAAAACAAAAACAATCAAATTCAATGGATATCCCTCAAATTTTTAACCTGTATATCAAAAGCACCGCCATCACTATATTTTTAAAAGTGAAATACACCCTTTTCATGCGTATCATGCGTATGTATATAACAAAGTGAAAAAAAAAAAATGTAAATATCATACTTTGGGTGTTAGATATGTAAATACATAAAATTCTGTCGGATGTAAGTAAAATTTGCATTATATTTTCAGCTAAACGCCAAGGGAGGAATTAGAGCCACAGATCTGCACGCTGCAGTATAATTTTGGACCAAGAAGAAAGGAAAGCTCCTGCTGCTGTGATTACTAGCAGGAAACATGTGAAGTAAGTTATTATCAACTCTTACAGTTGCATGCTTTGTTAAAAGAAAATGATGCGCAACTACACAAACTCACCACATGATGGGCAGATCTCCTAATTTCCTAATTTATATATAAGATGTCTATGGTTTCACGTATACATATGATTTCTTCAACCAAAACCATTTTTTTTTAAGTTTCAAATACCCTTCTCTAAATTTCTCCAAATTATAAAGCAAATTTCTTTGTGCTCCTACTGATGCCAATCATCATGAAAGCAGATCATAGCCAGAAAGAAGAAACCAGAATCAGCACACAGATGAAGAAAGTTAAAAAGCTTCCAGTTTCTGTTTGCAGGAACATATGGAAGGTGGGAAAAGATGACCCAAGGAGAGTCATCCATGCCCTCAAGGTCGGTGTAGCATTAACGCTGGTTTCCTTCCTCTACTTGTTGGAACCTCTTTTTGAGGGAGTTGGGCAGAACTCAATGTGGGCAGTGATCACAGTGGTTGTGGTGCTTGAATTCACTGCAGGTCTGCTTAAAATCTGATCTCTAATCAGTCATTAAAAAGTGAGAATTCATTCTATACTTCTTCTGTATCAAATGTTTAAGCTTTCAGTTTTCTGTGCCAGGTGCAACTTTGTGCAAGGGTTTGAATCGAGGATTCGGGACGCTATGTGCCGGCTCTCTAGCATTTTTCATAGAATTCATGGCGGAAGAAACAGGAAGGGTTTACCGTGCAGTTTTCATAGGCACAACAGTGTTTTTAGTAGGTAATTGCCTACATACTTTCCTGGTTTATAGTGAAAAACAATTCTCTATACTCAAAAATATTTATCTTTGATTCACTGTTACAGGTTTCATGTCAACATATTTGAGGTTTTTTCCATGTATAAAGAAGAACTATGACTACGGAGTGGTGATTTTTCTACTAACCTTCAATCTGATAACGGTATCAAGCTTTAGAGTTCAAAATGTGCTGCACATGGCACGGGAACGCCTCTACACCATTGCCATCGGTTGCGGTATCTGCCTCTTCATGAGCCTTCTAATATTCCCCAACTGGTCAGGAGAGGATCTCCATAGGTCTACAGCCAGAAAGTTTGAAGCATTAGCAAAATCAATCGAAGGTATGAAAATATACTATTTCTGCAAGTCAAATTTTTGGATAAAACTAAGAAGATGAGTCTTACAGGTTGCGTAGAAGTGTATTTCCATGACAAAGATGATAAAGTCAGTGAAGATAACATTGAGGATCCAATTTACAAAGGTTACAGGGCAGTTTTGGACTCCAAATTTAGTGATGAGACACTTGTGAGTATAGTCTTGTGCAACTTTTTCCATATTGCATTTCATACCCAATGGTAACATTGTAAATATGCCAGGCAACCTTTGCAAGCTGGGAACCCAGGGCAACCAGGCACTGCCACAAATACCCATGGCAACAATATGTGAAGCTTGGCACAGTTCTTAGACATTTTGGGTACACAGCTGTGGCGCTTCATGGTTGTCTTCAATCAGAGATACAGGTGCTTAATTATGATCTCTTGATTTTCAACAAAAGTACCAAATTAGTTCTCAGACTCTTTACTCGAGTCATTTTAGTTCCAGAGTTTATATAGTAAAAATTTAGTCCCAAGATTTTTTTTAATATGAGCTGAAATAATTACCACGGAGATTATTTTAACCCCAACTAAAAAGCCTTGGAACAATTTTGCAGTTTTATAGACACTGGGACTAAAATGACCCCATAGCAGAGGGCATTTTTGGCACTTTACTCTTATTTCTAGGGGTGTAAACAGACCGAACACGAACGAACAGAGCTTGTGTTCGACATTGTTCATGAAGTTATTGTTAGTGTTCGGTTCGATTTGTTTGAAATTAATTCGAAATGTTTGAAATGCTTGAAATGTTTGGATTCTTCGATTTATTCAAATTGATTGAATTGTTTAAAATCTTTCAAATTTATTTGTATTGATTGAATTGTTAAATTTTAAAAAAAAATTAATTATTAATTATCAAATTACCATAAATAAATAAATAATATCCCTCAATTTAAAAAAAATGTTATTTCTTCAACTATATTATTATAAATTATTAAAAACAAATTACAAATGAAATATATAATTAAAGTTTCAAACTCAAATTCTTAAAAAAGTATAAATCAATATTATAAAACAACCAGTAATAAAACAACAATTTAAGAATAAATTACAAATAAAAAAATGCACTCGACCTTTTATTTATATCTTCCAAGTTCCAAGTTCCAACACCAATTTTTCATTCCTCCAAATTTCGTTATATCATAATTTTAATGTACCTGTAAATTAAAAAAAAAAAAAGACAAAAGAAAAAACTAATTAGGCCATGAAAAAAAAAATAAAAACTTGAGTTATATGTATGTTACCTAACAAGTAGTAATCATCTAACTACAAACCAACAACCAAAAGCCAAAACAAAACAATAACAAAAGAGACAACAAAGAAGAAACAAGAAACAAGTAAATGAAAAAGAAATTGAGCTCAGAACTTATCTGACAAAAGTTCATTAAAATCTCTTCTAAATACTATAAATGTTTTTGCATCAAACATTTATAAGGTTGAATTTTAATGAAAATATTGGAAAACATCATTGCTCAAATAAAATACCCCATCAAAAGAAAAAGATCAAGAATTACCTACACAAATCAACAAATCTGATATAATAAAGGCTTAGGGTTTTTTTTTTTGTTTATATATATAGTATATTAATATATTATATTAATTATATAACTTATATTATATAAATATATAATATTTATACAACTAATATTAAAATACTATTATTATTATTTTATTATATATTATAATTTATAGGACTTAATTTTTTAAAATATGATAATTTTTTTATATATAATTATTTTAAGTCATTTTATATTTCGAAAAATAATGATTCAAACATCATTAAACACATAATTGTTCGTGTTTGATTTATTTATAAACCAAATGGAAAAAAGTTATTCGTGTTCGTTTCGTTACTTATTGAAGGAATCGAACACGAACTCTTTGGGGGAGCCGAACACGAATTGTTCTCGAACAACGAGCTTTTTTGACGGTCCTACTTATTTCTATCTACTTGCTCTTAGTTGCACAAACAAATTAGTCTGGCCATTTTAGGGCATTGTGTTGGTACATATATTCGGCCCCTTTGTCTCTTGACTCTTCTAAACATTTCATACCATCCTTCTTCTCTCTCTCTCATATTAAGCCAAAGCTTCAATTGTTGCAGGCGCCCAAATCCGTAAGATTACTGTTCCGAGACCCATGCATGCGAGTCGCATCAGAAGTGTCGAAGGTCCTCATTGAGCTAGCTTACAGCATAAGTAACCGCCGTCTATTCTCTCACGACGTCCTCTCCGACCATCTCCACGAAGCCTTGCGGGACCTCAACTCCGCGATCAAATCTCACCCTCGTCTTTTTCTAGGCTCCAAAAACGCGAGGAAGGTGGCAGAACTGAAGCGTGATATGACTTCGTCCGCCGTTGCTTTGCCTTCGCTTAAAACCGATACATCAGCAATGCAACAATGGAAGAACAACAGGGTTGCAGACCAACCAAGGGGGCTAACCGAGCAAAAGCAGTTAAGGCCGACTCTGAGTAAGATTGCGATAACTACCCTAGAGTTCTCAGAGGCGCTTCCATTCGCAGCCTTTGCTTCCTTGTTAGTAGAGATGGCTGCAAGGCTGGAGCTTGTTATTGAGGAGGTAGAAGAACTAGGAAGAGCAGCGTATTTCAGAGAGACAACAGCCAGTGATGATAAGAAAATCAAAATTAAAATAGAAAACATGAGGAGTGACGAAAATCATCACGATTTACATGCCCATGAGGTGCACCGGATAGTTGACTAAGAACGGGAAAAAAACTAACTTAATTGTGGAATTCATCTATAATTTCTAGTTGAAGTATGCGGCTTTGCTGTTTATTGCAATAAATTAACAAAATATGTATTAGAGTCATTTGAACTCATCGCTCATCAATACGATATATTTTGAACTGAAGTCGAATTGGTTTTTTGTTGCAGTGCTGTTAAAAAGCTACAAAATTTGTTGAATTAATTGCCTGGGTTACTAGTTAGATGATAAAAAAAATCTTCTTTTATCATTACGCAGAATATGGACCTAGTAATGTATTGCTGAAATATAATCAGAGCTTATGAAATGGGAGAACTGCACCAGAAGTGGTCTTATACATCCAGCAAATACATTATATGTTTTCTGCTCCCCCTTTGTTAATCTTCACTATCTTCAAGCACCTTTGGGGCCTATTTGAGATCAATTTTGTTTTTTACTTTTATTTTTGTTTATTTTTAAGAACATATTTGTTTAAAGTACTTTTCTTTTTGTTTTTAAAACAAATCAACTTATTTTTAAAAGAACTCAAAAATATTTTTAGATGTTTTGTGTGTTTTAAAAAACAAGCATATCATACCCAAGCAAAAGAAAAGGGATTTGAATCGGATATTAAATCATAATTATATTAATTTTATCAGACATTCATTAGTTTTGCTCGGTAACAAGCATAGCATAGCACAATAAAAGAGCAATGGCAAATCAAGCCTATGTCTATTTTCCACTTACCTTCAATAAATGCCATCTCATTGCCACTCTAACACAATCATTCCTCAATTAATCTTTTACACTTGAACCACACATCTATGTTAACCTTTTACTTCATTCATGCTCGAACTAATTATTAGATACTTTTTTTACCCAAAACTTGTATAAATACAACATAGACCATATGATGACCTCCATTTCAGACTAGATTGAACCTCATCCAGAGTCTAAAATTTATCACTCCATTTACTAAATAAAGCCAAATGCTAGAATACAGTAGTTTCCTGAATTTATGAATTTTCAGATGTAGGTCCTAAATTTTAGCTTCGATTCGGCTTAAATCTGAATTTACTAAATTCAGAGGTAGGATGAATTCAACGGACGGATTTAATAAATTCTATAAATGCTAAATCCTACTTGCAGCCAAACACACCTATTGTTTCGCATGAAATTTTGAAGTAGGCATGAACAACAAAGTGCAGAGCTCTGGAGCCTAATTTTTGCCCCCAAGAAGAAAAAAATACCTATTGTATTCAATATTTGCGGTTTATTTCATTAAAACATTTTGGTGATTTTACTTTTAGTTTTCCTCAATTTCTATAGAATTTTTCTTTATGCGCAAAATTCTTTATATTTTATTGTGTTGATCCTTTTTTTTGTCCTGGTTTTCTATTCTTTTTCATTCTCGATGATTGAATAATTCTCCTATTCCCAAACAAAATCGGATAAAAAAATGAAGGGAAACCTAACATTCAATATGATAATGGGTTTTCTATTCTTTTTCATTCTCGATGATTGAATAATATTTCTCCTATTCCCAAACAAAATCGGATAAAAAAACGAAGGGAAACCTAACATTCAATATGATAATGGAGTCTAGTCGAACAGCTCTCGAAACCTTGCCCATCCCCGATCATGAAATGCACAATCATCTCCGCCAACAAAGCCATAATCTCCCAAGTCTTCGTCGTCTAGAGAACCTATTTATAGGAGACAAAAGCTTGGGCATCTCTCTAGTTCTTTCTCATACCCATCTAACCCTTCTTCAACTGAACTCTTACAATAGAGAAGCCACTCTCATACCTTCTTTTTCAATAGTTTCCTTGCCGAAGAGAGAAAAAGAATACCTAGCTCTCAGGATGGAGGCGATCGTCGTCAGAAGCGGCACCATTCCGGACTATGCGAAGCGTTGTCTTCTTATCTACAGCAAGAATCGTAATCTTCCAAACTATTCCTTGTTCAAGAACCAAATTATCAGTGCTTCGTAGCTCCTACCGCCCTAAGATGAAGACAGGCCAGTATCGGCTTCCCTCGCGACGGTTGCCTTGCCCTTGAAACTGTCGTTGCATATGATTCATCAGTTATAAAATACACATTTATTATTTATTTACAGATGGAATACCTAAAAATTCAATATTTATATTTATACTAGTTTGATGTTATAAATCTAATATGAAATGTATATTTTACTTTTGAAAAATTAATGAGTGCTTCTATATACAAGAACTGAAAAAACCAACACAAATCTCGAAGCAATCCGCGACTTAGAGTAGTGGTCGGGTAATCGATGCATTGGATCAATAGGGCACGATCTGAACAGTTCATTCAACGACCAACCTTCAAATTGGAGTTAACTGACACACTGTGGTGAGAGATTCAATAGACGAATCACAGTCCCGACCGCCCAAACTCCTTACAGGGGAGTCTGATCACAACCAGTCGACCGACCGACTTTTACTTCAACGGGCTCGATTTCATTGACATGTCGCCTCAATCTCTCAGACCCAAGTGAGTCGATCGGCTGGTTACCGTCATACTCAAATTTGAATTGTAATACTTTTTTGGTATAAGATCAACACAATTCATCGCATTAAGGACGATTTTCATAACATTTCAATCTTTTCTGTAATTATACAAATACGTCTCTATAAATGAATAAAAAAAGACAAATAAATGGTCTCTTTCCCCAGTTTCACCATAGGAATTTTCCTATTTACTCTGTCTCTCTTTCCATTTCTCCTCCCAGCTCTAACTCTCGATGTGTGTTCACAAAAGACAACTTAGGATTGAACATCATAAAAGGTGTTGCGGTAAGCATAGACATGCCACAGACGAGAAGCGAAGCAAGAGAACCCTTGCAGAGAGAAATGGTGCTCATGGATTTCAATAGAGAGATTGTGTGTTGAGACATACATGAAGATGTCCAAGGACTACGAATGCAAATAATGAACCAGTTCGAGGATCTTTGGGCAGTCATAATCCTACAAAATGCCCGACCGCCACCAATTGAGGGAGAGTCTCGCGAAAACCACCCCTAGAAGGCTTCCCTCGACAATCCGCCAGCACCCCCACAGTTGGCCAAATGACCGACCAACCGAAGGACCAGAAGATTCCCAACCGGCAGACAGCGTTGCATCCACGTCGGTAGTCCCACATTAGGTGGAACAAGTGGGAACGTTCGCTCGATTGGTTATGGGGAGCGCCTTCTCCTGAAAGATCTTGGAAACAATACCCCCGATGAAGCTCAGGATTTCTCACTTCGACTCCTACAAAGACTCAATCGATCACCTCACCTCTTTTAAGTCGACGGCCAGTTGTTCCTGACCATGTTGAAAGAAGTTACACTCTGATAGTTTAATAGCCCGCTTGATGGAGTCCTCCAGTCGTTTTTCTCCTAACCATGGTTTCTCCTGCACATCTCCAACTGAGCGGCTTGAAAACTTGCCAATCTTATTCAATTTTGTTTGGTCAATCCATATGTTCCTCCCTATCCTCCAAATCATACATTTTTGTCTGTATGATAGTAGTATCATCCTATAGTTTATCCAATCGCTCAGAGATAGATGACATAGATATAGAAGGTCGAACTCTAGAATTGGAAGAAGACCTAGAAGAACTTTCATCCTATGACCATACACTCCGATGCTACATTTTCTAACATCTCTAATGAGTGCAATAACTCCTCCCAATACTCGTACTTCACCTCAACTTCAACACATAAAGTGAATATAATAGAGGGTGTTGTGAAAAACGACGACAATAAAACGAAAAATCGGATCGAGAAAAATCACAAAACAGAAAATAGTGAAACACACAGATTACGTGGTTCAACAAATTGCCTACGTCCACGGAGCTGCAGATAATTTTATTAGCTTGAGGATTACATCCATCAATCGTCTCGACGATTAATATATATCTTCTCTCCCTCTACCCGAGAGCCACAATCAAGAAGAAGAAACGACAGAGGGCAATCAAATGCCGAGAGAGATTATAAGGGAGTTAGCATGCATATTTATTAATTTCATCATGTCATTAGACCCATTAAGAAATTGATCAAATAATTAATGAAGCCCATTAATTATTTCATTTTCTCTTCTACAACAAATCATAGAAGGAATTAAGAACAATTAATTTAACAATTAATTTCGAGTATCAAATCCAATTTGCTGTCAAACATGAGAAAATGCCAATTTGAGCAGTGGACCGATTTCCATATTTACAACAAATCTCCCACTTGAAAACTGATACGTTAGTTGTATCATCCCCTAGCTGCGTCACCCTTTTATTCAAACGTGATATCCTCCACGACTGCAGCTCAAAACCCCGTGTCTTTACGCTAGAAGACCAACTAAAGTCGAGCACAACTTCAATTTCTCAAAATAACACACTTAGTTGACATATAAATGTCAACATATTCTTGTACCTTCAAGCTATTTCCTGACTTACTCTTGTATCTGTTTATAACTCCCACAACATGGGCAATATCCGGCCTCTGCTGAAATTTTTTTTCAATAAGTATAGTTGTACCTTTTACTACCATCAAGCGTAGTCTACACCCGGTACACACACTTGTTGTGCAATGTCATCTTCCCCGGTGGAAATTCTGTCATCTCCCAAGTCTGATTCCCTAACAGGGAATCCATATTTTCTGGTCACTTTCCCAGTAACAGGAGATGAAGTTCTTCTCATAGAGATATTTCTCTATCTTCGTCCGTCAGCAGCTAAAATCTGTGTCATTAAATTTTTCGATCCCCAATGTCATCACATCATCTCTGGTCATCGCTTTCCCTCAGATCCATGGATGAGCTCTAATACCAGTTGTTGTGAAAAACGACGACAATAAAATGAAAAATCAGATCGAGAAAATTTTCAAAACAGAAAATAAAAAAACCCACAAACTTACGTGATTCAACAAATTGTCTATGTCCAATCAGATCGAGAAAATTTTCAAAACAGAAAATAAAGAAACACACAAACTTACGTGATTCAGCAAATTGTCTATGTCCACGGAGCTGCAGAGGATTTTATTAGCTTGAGGATTACACCCGTCGATCGCCTCGATAATTACAAGAAAGAACAATCTCTCTCTCTCTCTTCTCTCTCCTCTCCTTCTCTCACTCTCTTTACCCGAGAGCTACAATCAAGAAGAAGAAATGTCAGAGGGCAATCAAATCCCGAGAGAGATTACAAGGGGAGCTACCATGTCTATTTATTAATTCAATCATATCATTAAACCCATTAAGAAATTAATCAAATAATTAATGAAGCCAATTAATTATTTCTTTTTCTTTTCTGCAACAAATCATAGAAGGAATTAAAAATAATTAGTTTAGCAATTAATTTAGAATATTAAATCTAATTTACTGTCAAATATGAGAAAATGTTAATTTGAGCAGTGGTCTGGTTTTCATATTCACAACAGAGGGATGTCCAAGTCCTCTAGTAGAGAGCAGCCTCATCATGCTTTTAATAGAACTACAAATAATCTCCCCAATATCAATAGTATGCTCCTTCTAAATACAAAAATTAACGATTGCACTATCTCGAATAACTTCACTAAGATTAGTAGAGGGGAGAAGCTCAGCTGATATAAGAAAATATCAAACCTTCAACTCAACATTTATAGACGCAGCAGAGAATTTTATTTTTCTCTCCTCTCTAACCTTCCACATTCCCCTCCCATCAATAAAATAGCTTACAACCTCTTCTAACTCCGAATCGTTGGCTTTGAAATTAGAATAAAAATAATTCGGGAGATCATCCAAGCTTAAGTGTGGATTGATACCATGCACCGACCCATTTACATACTTTCCCCTCACATACACTTTGTCAAAAGAACTCTGTCAAATTTGCAAAAAAACTTCCCGAACTACAGGAATCACCGCCACAAATATATTGAACTCAAACCCACAAGCAAGAAAATAAAGCTAAAAACCCATTTGATATTGCCCAGTTTATCCTCTTACAACTTCCAAAATATGTAGAAATACCAAAAAGAAAAATCAGGAAAAATACAGCAATTGTTAAATTGCAGATTGATGTTACAATTTTACCTGGCTCGTTCATTCTAAATAAAAGCTCCAGATCAGCTAAGAAGCTTAACCCAACTACAAGGCAACAGAACCAAAGTAAAATCTAATGAGTTATTGGCAATAAAAGCCATTCTTCATCTCTCCCAAATGTAATCTCAGAAACTTTTTGCATAAAAAGTCAGATGAAATTTTGCAATAAAATATCATCCTGAAGCCAATATTAACCTCCATCCTGATCAGGGAATTGCTGGCACACTCGCTCATCTTCAATGTTGTGAAGTGCAGTTGATTGCTCCGGTGAAATCTCAGTTACAGATTCACTATCAGCTGCCGTAAACTGTTCTGTTTCAGTCTCTGTTTCACCATCATCAGCATCAGTAAACTGGTTCGCCTGAATCTCGATGTCAGCTTCGATTTCATCATTAGAGCTCGAATGATTTACTCGAATTTTCACACGTTTTCCTTTGATGTAGCGGTATTCCCAGTTCTGGGGTGGATATTTCATATGCAATTTCTCATATTTGTCATGCATTTCTAATCTCTGAAACACCTCGCCAACCATTTTCACAATGGATCGGTCCGGCCTGACACCAAGTTCTTCCATATCAGCAAATACCTGAAATGAGAGAGACAAGGGGTTTTTACAGAAATCCAGGAAAAAAAAAATTCATAATTAAGCACAGTAAAATTGGACATTTTGCAAGCTCAGCATGCTTTTATCTGATCACCCAATCGTTTAGTTTGATTTAATTTAAGACTCTGAAGGGTGTTGGAACTTAAGTCCAGGACTAAATTTAAATGCTAGCTGGTAGAAACTACCGGTTATGAGGGCAAAGCAGTCATCTTCAGTATTTCATTTAGCATGATTTTAAGAAAATAACAATAAATTAATAGAAAGATGGGTCATAAATTTAATTTTACTCAGCAAATTAATAAATTGATGTAAAGTGGTTAATAGCACGGTAAAAATGAAAAATAAAACTCGATAGTCTAAGGAAACACAAGAACTGAGATTTGTAAGAAGAGGTTCACGCAAACAACAACTCACTCCAAAACTTAATTCTAATCATTTACAAATACAAGCGTTAAACAAACTAACCCTGTTTACTAAGCATGCCTGATCACGTACAGTGCAAATCCAGCATCTTACAAGCAAACTAGGAAGATGTACATACATACCACTAAACTCCTATGTATTTACATATCTATTACCCAAACTTCAATTTTTACATATATTCCATCTTACCTATTGCATGAAAAGGAGTATTTACATTTTAAAAGTGAAAATGATGGTATTTTTTATGTGACAAAAGATTTGGGCGATATGAAGGTGAGAAGTAAAATTTAAGTGTCAGATATATAAATACATAGGGAATTCAATGGTATGTATGTGAATGCCCCATCAAACTATTGCGCTAAAATTTCACGTCCTGAATAACATGCCTCCCAATACTAAGTTTTCAAAATGGTTTTGTAAATTGTGCCAATTGCACAAACTGTAAATTTCAAGCACAAAATAAAAGTGCAAGGTTGCCTATCGTTTTATGGACCTGCTGCTTTACTCTGAAGCCAATTTCCCTCATGTGAGCTCCAAAAATACAGAAAAAAAAAAAAAAGAGAATTACGTTGCCATACCTCAAACATCTTTTCGTTCAAGCCTTTACTGTAGTATAAAGAGATCATTTTAATAAAGAAAATGCGAGGCAGACTTTCCAAGTACTTCGAAAATAGCTTCATCCATAATTCTTCTGCCTCTTCGAGCCTTCCATCCTCCGTCAAAGCGTTCAATAAAGTGTAATAAGTTCCCATGGTTTGTCCCTGGCCTTTGCTTAGCATCCACTTTATCACCTACAACCAAAGAAATAAACAGAGTTGCAACAATGAAGTGTGAGCAGAACAATATGGAAAAAATACAATAAATTTCTAGGGTAGAATACTTGAATTATTCGCTTCCATTCCTTCTGAAACTCGAGTGTCTTCAGCGCCTTCTTGACTATGATCAAAGGAAATTCCAGCTCCCAAGCAATGAATGAATCAAGAGCTCCATAAACTTCTTCTTTAACATTCGACAATTCCTTTATCTGGGGAGACAAAACAGTAGCTGCTGAAAGAGCATAAAAGTTAGGGAAATTTACATACTACACAATTCTCATGAATTTACATATCTAACTGCAAAAGTTTAATATTTACACTTATAACACTTTGGTGCCATAAACCTAAACATGAAAATGTGTATTTATGTTTTAAGAAAACAGTGATGGTGGTATTTTTGATGTGATGTCAAATATTTGAGTGTTATGCACGTAAATATACATTAAACTAATAACGCCTTGGTGCCATAAACCTAAGCATGAAAGATATAATTTGGTTTTAAGAAAACAGTGATGGTAGTATTTTTGATGTGATGTCAAATATTTAAGTGTTATGCATGTAAATATTAATGTTTAAGTTTTAGATCTATAAATACATAAGAACTGTGTGGTATGTATATATATATCCCTCAAATTATCCCGAGCATACCTCAAACTTTAGCCATATTTTTTACAGGTACGAGATTCTCAAACCAAGGAATTTAAACTAATTTTCCAGTGCACTAAAAGATGCATCGATGGAAAACCAAACAAATCTAAACCCCTTTACATATCAAATAATAGAAGAATTGAAAGGAGCTACTGCTTCTTCAGAAGTACAATGGACAGAATAAAGTGGAAAACCTTCAACTGTATAATAAGTGCCACCAAGACTGACAACTAGTTCAAGATATCGAAACTTAATTACAATTGATGCAAATGGCAATATATAAGAGAAGATCTTGAGAAGGACTTCATTGTTTGGAAAGTGAATTAAAAGAGGTAGCAAAGTTGGGCCAAAGGCATCAATAGTCAAACTTGTTTTCAATCGAAAGAACTTAAACTTATGAATGTGGGTCGACTACTTTGTATTTCTACAAAGCTTTATGTGCCTCGAGAATCTCCCCTCAAATAAGAGAACTCAGCATCAACCATCATTTCCTCTCAAAAAGCTTATTAAGTATCTTGTACCAAGAGCCCACTCAATAAATAGGGCTATGGGAGCATTCTCTCTTGAACATTGCTAATGCCATGACTAAAAGGGTTGTCGTAGCATGAACTAGTTCGTTGAACTCCATATTCAACAGTGCCATTCAATCAAACACGGTGAAGTTAGCAAATGATGGTGACCACATTGTGTAAATCAAGGTCCAGGCGCATTGCACTGAACAAAATCACATTCAATGTCTCCCATTTGTAGAACAGACTTAGCCGATGTGTCCAGAGCATCAAAATTATTTAAGGGGTTCCCCATTAATCAATTCCATGGATCAAGATGAATATAGCAAACAATGTCACACCAATTAAAGCAGAGGTGTCCCAATCACCATCAAAACTATAAAATCAACCCCATTAGTAAAATGAACTATGCAATCATACTGGTGTATTAAAATTACCCAAAAATGGACCTTCCATGATTGAAAAAACAAAGCAGGTCAAGAACGACGACTACTAACGCTGTGCAAGGGAGTTCAACCTAAATTGCCTCAATGGCTGTCGAAGTTGCTTAAATAAGCTCCTTCATAAAACAAACTACACAAGAACGTCTGGACAACTGAAACTACCGAAAAATGACACCCTTGTTAATTGGTTCTTGTTTGCGAGCCATCAATACAAAATTCAAGGAGACACATGAATTTGGAAAATGTGAGAAATGAAGAAGTGCAAAGGGAATAAATATATATGAATAACTAAAGTATATGCATGTGTGTGTATACATTTATATACATAATATTATTATATAAAAATAAATTTTAAATTCTCTGTATCCCTAGTGCAAACGCCCACATTGCATGCCTATGTCACCTCTCCATCCAATCTCGTAAAGCATTCCTTCCCTTAATCAATCAAAATAGAAATAAAAAAAATAAAGAAAATCAAATCCCGATTCATCCTTTTCTTCTGCTAAGTTTTCCCAGCTCACCCCCTTCATCTCTTCTAGCTATGCATCACAACACCATTCATTGCCTTCACACGCAACTCCAAAACACCAAGGCCCCATCTCCCCTCTCCATCCCAAGGCCCAATGCTGGCTCCTCCTCTATGCTAAACCCGCAGCATAATCACTCCAGTATTCTCTTTTGAGCTCACTATCCACTCTTAGATTGCCAATCAACACCCCTCTCAATAGTTCTCTACCCGTACAGCTATCCCAGTTGGCCCACTCTTGTTTGTTTCCCATATCCCAACCCTCTCCTTGGCTTATTTATCTCGCTCAGATGTCCTGCTCTTGTTTGTATCCCATATTCCAACCCTCTACTTGGCTTCTCGATCCCGTCATAACTCACAAGATAACGCTGCAGACCACAACTCCCCGCTTTCCAATTGCTCAACATCCCCAAATGTATGTTTCCCCACTTCATCCTCCATGCGGCCATCGAAATTTCTCAAACATACTGCATTCAAAAAAACGCACTATGCAAGTGCAGCTGTGATGTTGAAGCTACCAAAAAAATGACACCAATGCCGTTTGTCCCTTGTTTGTGAGCTGTCGACACAAAATTTAGGATGATACATGAATTTGAAAAGTATGAGAAATGAGGAAGTGCAAGGGGAATAAATACATAAAAAATTACTAATGTGTGCATGTATATGGGGGCGTGCTTGCGCACACACAGATATATAAATATATATGTATGTATATATACATACATATATAT